TGTACTTTGAATGAGATTAGTTAAACAAGTCGGCTTTCCATTAAAGATATTTGTTTCAAAATTAAACACCATTGGCAAAATGCTTACAAAATTAGGTAGTTTTTAAAAATTTGTTTCCTATTTAATACACTTTTTTTAAAATATACTTTTTAAATATACTTTTTTAATATACTTTTATATAACAATCCTACTAATATGGAATTACATAGCTTTTTAAATATGTTTAATTGTCGTCCCTATCGGTAATAAATATTTTAAATTATTTGATATGGTTTTCTTTACAATAGGCTATGCTTGGCTCCTCAGTGCTGTAAATGGTGGCTTCAACTTTGTTTTTTAAGAAAAATGTGTTTTATATATGCTTCTGTTTTAAAATAATTTTGTTACATATTTAATTATATATCATGTAAATAAATTTCTTTTAAAGATATGTTAACTTGATACTTGCTTTTTTACGGATTCTCAAAAAGTGAACAAAGGTTTAAATATATTTTTTAACTGTCTTATATAGTTTTATCAATTTTATTAAAGCTGAATAATTACTTCAAAAATATTGAGTAAAATCCAATTGCTTTTATTATTAACCTGATCTATACAAAAATTAATGAAATAAAACTAATAATTTAACGCCAAGTTAAGGCAAAATGTATTTCGGACATTTTATAAAATTAGTATAAATATGGATTAGATGTATGCTGAAATAAATATGTTGATATACGTTAGCTATAAAGTAAATCGATATATTCTTTTATTGTTTTTTTATAAACAAGTTTCTGCTGGATTACTAATAAAAAAAAGGTTGGTTTAGTAATAGTCTTTATCATATAATAAAATAGGATCCGTATGCAGGGCTAATCCCTTTCCGGAATTGCGATATATTTTTTCAACATCTAGTTTTTCCGGATATCCAACTTCTATGCCTACAAGTTTGGGTGTAATATTTTAGATGTTTTAAAAATATTTAAAAAGTATATTAAAAATATTGAAAAGTTTAGATGCGATAGTGACATATTTTTAAGCTCTTCACTCAGTACAATGAAAAGTTTTAAAAAAAAAGAAACAACTCAGCCTAAAGCAAAATTAAGAGTAAAATATATTCCCAATATTTACCTAAACAATTTTACGGAATTTGAAAATTTGACATTGATGTTCTGTGCATATAATTCAAGTCATTTTTAACTGCTACATGGTTGTGATTTGCGCATTCAATGTCTGAATATTGCAAAAGAAATGGTCAACTTTATCTTCAATGAACTAAGAGTTCTCTTAAACTAAGAAGCCAAGAAAAATAAAAGTGAGCACAACTAAAAAAATGTATAAATAAATTTATATTTCATTAGAGAGAGTAAATAAAGATCAAATTGTTGTTAATTTTATTACTACTGACCCGTATTACGGGTTGCTTACTGTATAAATAAATTTATATTTTATTAGAAAAAGAAAATAAATATCAAATTGTTAGTTATGATTTATTTACTACTAACCCGTATTACGGGTTGCTCACTGCTAGTATAAAATAGTGTGAAGAAGAAGTTGTAACTGAAATGAACAGCATAATAGAATTTGATAAGTTTGACTCAGCACTTGACAATGTTTTATCTAGTAACTCTGTAGTATCTCTGCAGTTGTAAATTGCTAAATACTGATTTGACAGATTTTTTTTTTTTTTTAAATTTTCTTTACAATATATAATTTTTACTACTTAATTTGGAATTGTCAGATTTCCATTATTTCTTTCTATTAGAAACAAAGAGTTCAAAATATTGGTAATAAGAACTGTCAAAAACATGTGATAGCTATGATAAAGAGGTTAGTAAATTACAAGTGCATTCCTATAAATACTCTGTTTAATTTTATAATGATATTACTCCCATCTTACAATCCATAATATAAATCCCATGCATGGCTCTACGTTAGCCGTTTTACCATAATGGGATGACTAAATAACCGTGAATTTCATACGCGCAAACTAGCACATGGGCAAAGCAGTTACAAAAACTGGCACGATGCCAAATGGCATAAGTGCAAATGGGCATAACTGCACACAAAAAATTCCAAACATTGGCATAAGTGCAAACTGCTATAAGTACAAACTGGCATATGTGTAAATTGGCATAAGTGCGCTAAATAGATTTACAAACATTCGCATAAGTGTGAATTGCCATAAGTAAAAACTGGTATAAGTGTAAAGCAGTTGAAAAAACTTGAAAAGTCCAAACAACATAAATGCAAATTGGCATAAGTGTGCTAAATAAAATTTGCCAAATTTAGCATAATTCCAAACTGGCATAACTGCAAACTAGCATAAGGGCAAAATGCCAATCAGCACTTAGACCAATGTTTGCAAATTTATTACACGCACTTGTGTCAGTTTGCACTTCCGCCAGTTTTTTTAACTGTTTTGTACTTAATCAAACTTTGCACTTATGCCTATTCGTAATGTTTGCTAACCTGTTTGGCGCCTTAATGCCAATTTACACTTTTTCCAGTTTGCAACTTTAAAGCTATAGGTCATCCTATAGCTTTAAACTTTAGTCCAGATAATTCTTTTAACCCAGATAAAATTCATATCTATGACTACTCTAATGGTTAGTGTACACTTATGACCTGGACTACATTAATGGTTAGTGTGCTATTTTTTAAATAATAGATTAGATTTAATTAATAGATAAACTGTATCGTTAAATTAAAATCTAAGTGTTTAATTACATTTAGATTTTATAAAAAAAAAAAAAAAAAACTATTTTAAATACAGTAGTTAATTATAATTTCATAAATTATAAGATATAATATTATTAAAACTCATTATTTTTGGTTTTATGACAAATTCACTCATGGCCAAATCTAATATGGCAGCGTGGAAAAGGCAACGGATCTTTTTAGTCTAACCAAGCTATACAACGTAACAAAAGATATATATATATATATATATATATATATATATATATATATATATATATATATATATATATATATATATATATATATAAAATGGCTAACATAGAGCCATGCATGGGATTTGTATTATGGATTGTAAGATGGGAGTATTATCATTATAAAATTAAACAGAGTATTTATAGGAATGCACTTGTAATTTACCAACCTCTTTATCATAGTTATCACAAGTTTTTGACAGTTCTTATTACCAATATTTTGAACTCTTTGTTTCTAATAGAAAGAAATAATGGAAATCTGACAATTCCTAATTAAGTAATAAAAATTATATATTGTAAAGAAAATTAAAAAAAAAAAGAAAAATCTGTCAAATCAGTATTTAGCAATTTACAACTGCAGAGATACTACAGAGTTACTAGAAAAAACATTGTCAAGTGCTGAGTCAAACTTATCAAATTCTATTATGCTGTTCATTTCAGTTACTACTTCTTCTTCACACTATTTTATATTAAGTTTTTTGCATCCTTGGGTTTTTATCTCATTTAAAAAAAGCAACACACAATATTGAAAGTCTAAACAAATTTACACTAATTAAATTTTACATAGTCTTAACTAAACTACGTAAATAAATAAATTTAAAATACATAAATTTAACAATTTAACAAGTTTACTGGTCTAACTCTAAATCAGAGAAAAACTAATAGGCAGTAAAAAAACCTAATAGTGGCAATGCTATATTATATATATTAGCGTTTTTCTCATATTTCGGGTTAGACAAGACCCAATAAGAAAAATGACGTTGGGACAACATTATTCCAACGTCTTCCGTATCGTTGGAAAGACGTTGGTATGATGTTATAAATAAAACAGCGGAAAGACGTCATTTTGCTAACGTTGTTGCAACGATGTAAAATGACGTTGTGACAACGTTACATTCGAGCTAAATGACGTCAGAAAGTTATTTCACGATGTTATTTCTACACTGCAAAGAGCAATAAAGCACTATGTTGCACTGTATAACATCGTGCTGTGATTTTTTTTTTTCCTTTTATTTATTTAGTTCATACGTGGCAATTATATTAGTCCAGGCAACTAATTGAATATGGAAATTAAAAGACTAAAAAAGAAAAATAAACTTTACAATACTTCTATTTCAAAATTTTAAAATTATATACAATAACTTAGAGTGAAACTAGTTTGATTTTTACATTTTTTGCAAACTTCTAGCATATCTCAATTAATTCGTGTATTCTTTGTTTGACACTAATAGATAAATTCATATACATAAACAGTTATAAACAAATTTAATTAAAAGCATTATCAACAAACGAAAAACATTCAGAAAGAACAAATAGAAAAAACTAACATAAATACCAAAAATTGATCTAACTTGTTATTTGATGCTCACCTGAGTATTCCTTTTTTTGAAAAATTATTGACAGAAAATCTTTGAGCAAAATCCTTTGAAATAGAAAAAAATAACTTAATTTCTATTATAACTATCAAAATAAATTTTTTTAAAATAACAAACTTTTATAAAACACCTTCTAACATCCTAATTGAAACACTCAAATTTGCAAAATTTGAATGTTTCAATTAGGATTTTAATGAAATGTTAGGATGAAAATTAATTTTCGATTGAAAAATATCTAAAATTAAATAAAATTTAACAAAATGTCATTATTAAATATATATTCAACATAAATGTTGAAATAGTAGAAAATATATTTACCATATATGATTCTCAATAAACTGCATTCAAAAACTAATGCAACTGACAATAAAAAAAATTTTAAATAGATAAGAAACAAACAAAATTTATTCAAAACACACAATCATGACATAATGGGAAAACAACATTTCTTGTTCTACCCTTAAAACTAATAAATTTGCGTTTGAGTTCAGTTTTTTGAACAGTTTTTCTTTTTACAGAAGGATTTTTTGGCACAGATAACATTTTGTTATATCTTGAACTGCATGGTACAACAAAGAAGTCATTAAAAAGCCGACATGAAATTATTTCACAAAGTAAAGAATCAAAATTGATTTTAATAACCTGTGCCAACTGACCACTTTTCAAAAAAAACCAGCTATCTTTATCACCAGGGACTACTTTTGATTTGTGTTTTTTTCTCAAAAATTTATTATCTAAACAATCTATTTCTCCTAAACGCTTGACAATTTGAGCAAGTGGCATGTTCTTACCACGAACCAATCTTTTCAGACGCTGCTAATAATTTTCAAACGAAAAGACAGACATATCAAGTAGGATCATTTGAAATTTTATAACATCTTCAGACAAATGAATCAGGTTATGAACATTATATGTAGTAAATTTTTGACCATAATAATCCACAGACTTAGATACAAACCAATTTAACAGCATTGATGCATAGCCAATGACATTAGAACTAGAATTATTGTCATCTAACACACGAATAGCAATACTAAGACAAAGAAAATGTATATAAAGATCATGTTTTAATACATTTTTCAATACATAGGGACCAGTATACATAAGAAATGAACGAAACTCTGTAGCTTTCCATCTTTTAAACTCTCCTAGTGATCTAGGCTGTCTGACAAAATCAGATGGTATTTTACCAGATAAGTCATTTAATTTTTCAGTTATGCATTTAATTTGGACATATGACAAACGACATATGTTTGGTCCCTCTGTCCAAAATATTATGAGTCGTCGAACAACCCCAAGACAAACTAAATGCATATAGTCTAAAACAAAGGTAGAAACACAAGGTAAATTAAAATCAATCAAAGGACTTCTAGATACTTGATAATCTTTATAATACATTTTAGAAAATTGTTCGTCTGAACAAAGAACAGAATTAACCTGATTAAAAACAACTCTTCCTTGCCATTCACCCTTGTCAATACATCGTTCAAAGCCATGGTAAGCATTGTGTGGCTTTATACATTTAATAAAAGCACGTGCCGGAGCATCACATCTCCAAAACTTTAAACTGACATTAAAAAAATTATCTTTGTAAACAAGACCATTTTCTGAAAGCATTTTGAATTCCTCCAAAAACTGTCTGAGAAACTCCATAGAAGAGTTAGGTTTTTGTTTGCCACAGAAAAAAGCAACAGGAAACGGAGGTTTAGAACCAAATTGAGTAAAGGCCAAAGCTGAGTATTGCTAGATATAAAAAGCGGCAGACCATCTAAATTTACTATTAAATTTATGTTGTTATTGATACCAGTAGCTAAACCTAGATAGATATAGTCACCAGAGCACATATTTTCAATAATCACACAATTAGGCGTTTTAAGTAAAGTTTTAGAATTTTTTGGTAAGTTCTCGTGTTCGTGTTTTCGCAACAAAATAAGCAAATCATTTAATGAAAAATGTGTAACTGCATGCTTAACCGCCCACTGAGCAAGATCATATGCCAAATCAGGACAATGTTTAGAATGAAAAGACTCAAAAGAGTTACTAAAATCATCACTTGTTGAAGAGAGTTCAGTTATTGGTAATGTAGAGTCACTTTCAAAAGTATCAATACTATTATGAATTGGACTAGAAAAAAACTCACCAGTTGAACTTTGATAATTATTATTTTCTAATATACTGGCAATCAAAGAATTAGTCTTTCTCCATATTGTAGACTTTGATGTCATTGTATATCTTTGTATTTCTTATCTATAATACTTAAAAAAAAAAGAATATTTATATATATAACAATTAACTTATATAAAAATTATATAATTTTGTATAATTAATATTTTATCATTAAATGTTGCTATTTAGTATAAAAACACAAAATATTACACAAACTGTTAAAATTTAAATAAAGCTTTTGTAACTTTTTAGAAATAAACTTTCATCATAAGAATCTTAAAAAAAATTGTAATTAAAAAATGATTTTGAAGCATTATTTAACCATTGATTTAATTTTTATATTGATTAATATTATTATTTATAATCCATCACAAATAATAAAACAAATAGTAAATCTTTTAAAAACAGCACTATATTTATGTTATTCAAAACAATGATCAAAAAATGACACATGATTATATATGGTATATAACAATATATGGTAAATGATTACATATGGTACATGATTATAGAGGGTAAATAATAATATATGGTAAACAAATTTAAAAGATCTTTAAAGTTTAACAACTTAAGTTTTAAAATTCACATAAACAAAAAAAGTTTTTTCTTCTTAATATTTATTTAATATTGTGTTTAAGAAATTCAAAAGAAATGTTGAAAAATACTTTATTATATTGAAGTAAAAAAAAAAAAAAAAAAAAAAAACACTCAGTGAAAAAATTATATAAAAATTATGTTTTACTGGCTTCTTCTGCAAAATTCAAACTGATAGACATGACATCATTTCTAGCGCTTGTCCGAATTGTTTTCCGGTTTTTACGATCTGCACCATATTTTAAATGGTTCATCACTTCTATTCGTACTTCTGAGCTGGTAGCATCCGGAAAGACATTTAATACTGCTTCTAAGATAAATAATTATACAAAAAAAGTATTAGGATGCAGTATTAAGATAGATTAGTATAATATATTGGGCAGACATGTATTTCAGGCACCCTTCATTACTAAGTCTGTAAAAAAGTTTTATATGAAAAAAATATTGTTGAAAACCATACCCTAACCAAACCCTAGCCATGACTCTTAGGATTAGGCTCAGCGTTTGATTAGGGAATGGCTTTCAATAAAATAAACTTTATTGTTGGCTTCAGGGTAAAAGTATAATTTTCAATAAATGTTATATGTTAAACATGACTCGTTTTTTACAAACTTACTAAAGAGGGGTGTCTAAAATACACATCTGCCAGATATTGTAACAGCAATAATGCTATTTAGGAAAATGTTATTTAAAAAAAAAAAACCTATAAACAAACTCACTATTTATTACATTATACAACAAAGTTTTTTCAAACTTAAGCTTTCCTTTTAAACCAATCATGCTGAATTTTTTCTGAAAATCATTTGACATCAATCTTAGATGAAAATAAATAAAACAACTAAAAGATATCATTTAGTAATTTATGCTGTTTCTAACTTAATAGTAAAATGAAGTAAATGTAACATATAAAAATCAAATTTTGAAAATACAAAAATTACCTTTGAATTAGGTCCTTAATCATATATTTAGATGATTTTCCACCAACACGTGAGAGTTGTTTAACCTTAAATAGAAAAAAAATACCAGCCAAATTGAAATATTTTACATAAAAATTTTTATATAAGTGTAATAAATTTTTAAACAATTTAATTAGTTAATAATACTTAAGTTATAGTAATGCTACAACCTAAATAGTTTAAAAATAAATAGGTTATGAATAAGGTGACATTAGTTGCAAAAGCAATTGATTAATAATCATTTTATCGTCCATCTTTTTTTCTCTAAATTGCTTTTAAAAATATTAAAATATAACTCACAAATTCTTGTGCAAAACTATTATCATGCATTTTAAGTTCAAATTCATTCAAATCTTCTACTGTCAAGAATTGAGTTGGAATTTCCGCACTTAAATTATGTGACAATGTACTTTTGGGTTGACATTGTAAACATGTTTTAAGTTCACACAGTAACTTGATGACTTCATACTGGAATTCTACACACAAAAATAAAAGAAAAAAAACAAAAGTATAATTTATTAAACTACAGGGTAAATTTTTATAAAAATTTATCTTTAATTGTAATACTTTTTAAACATAATATGCCTCCATAAAATAACTATAATAACTGACTTATATAAAAAATAAAATAAAAATATATTATGAATAATATTTTTTCAGTATGTATAAATACTGAAAAAAAAATCTACACACTTTGATCACTCATTGGAAAGTTATTTCTGTTAATAGCCAGAGTAGAATGTTCTTTACTTTTTGGTAATCCACAAGAGAGTTCACTCTGTGTTTCAATTTTCTCTGATTGTAAAAGAGAACAATAATCTGGTCTTCTTTTACTTTTACTCTGAGGAGATAGTGAACAAGAACTACTGGAAGATCGAGAGCGCAATTTCCTTGAATTATGGGATTTTGATGAACTTTGAAAACTAAATACTGACTGAGTAGGTTGATTCAAATCAATATTTACTTTATTCTGACTAGCTTCTTGTGAAAGATTTAGGTGTTCTTTTTCTAATTCTGGGGTAAATACTTTTTTATTTCTAAAACCTAATTTAATTTCAGGCTTTGGAGGAAGTGTACTGCAAACTGTTAAAAAAAAATTAAAAAATGAATAATTCAATAAAAAAAAAAATTTGTTTTAAAAAAATTAAATCAAAAAAATCAATTCCAAAAAATAATTAAATAAACAAAAAAATTTTAAAAATAAATATCAGAATACTATATAACTTAATATGCAAACACAAAAAATTACTTTTTACCTTTTTTTTGCAACTTGAGACATATCTTTTTTAAAATCAAAATCAAAAGAGTCAGTATCAGTTAAAATATTATATGAATGGCAAGTCATAAAATCTTTATCAGTTAATTTAATTTTGAGAACTTGAAATTTAAACCAATCATCTTGAGGTTCAACCTGGTCCCTTAACTTTTTTTCAGCTCCTTTTTTTGGCCATCTCAAAACTTTACCATTAATCCAACTTAAAGGAACAGTGTCAGAGTAAACTTTGTCTTCTTCAAGCCACTTTACACGACACCATTCAGACATAATAGCACACTACATAATGGTAAAACAGAAAAAATAAATTAATTTTTTTCAGAATAATATCAATAAAAAAATTATTTTAAACTACTATCATATTTATATCAGTAAAGTTAAAAAAATGAATAATTTAAAATTATTTATCAATATGAAGTTTTGTAATAAATTATTATATAGAAAAAACAAAATATTACCTTTACAAAGATTTATCAACCTAAATAATGTTATAATGTACTTTTTATGAAATTGTTTTTAATGTAAAAGAGAAAACAATAATGTTGAAAATACAAACACTATGATTTTGTTTTCTTCAACCAGCAAGTTATAAAAAAATAAAATGCTAATCTTCAAATAAAAAGTACCACTATATATGTATATGTACATATATTAATATACACACATTATGGTTTTTAAGGTCTGTCTAAGTTATAAGGAGGATAATTACCTTGTCTGGAACTAATTCCACAAGGAACTTAAAGTAGCATAAAATTTCCATAAACAAATAAATAATTTATCATGTATTAACATAATTGAACTAAAATGTCAAAGAAATAGTAAAAATATCAAATAAATACTCCATCTAACTAAAATAGTAACTCCAACTAACTAAAATGTCAAATAATTAGCATTTTATTTCTTGAAAAAAAGCCTAATTAAACTATTTATATACCCATTATTTTGTTATTTATTTGTTAATAAAACTTAATGTTCTTTTTAATTCCTTGTGCACAAGGAAATAAAAATTTAAATTTTATTTTAAATCATCTCAGCCTAAGAACATTCTACATGCAGAATATTTTGAGACTAAGTTGATTTAAATTAAATTTTTAATCAAAAATAAAATGTATATATATATATATATATATATATATATATATATATATATATATATATATATATATATATATATATATATATATATATATATATATACAGCTCTGTTTTAATTTTAATCATTTTAATTTAAATCATTTTAATTTACTTTAATTCATCGAGCACTCTCGCGAGGATATATGCAAGCACTAATACGTATACATATATATATATATATATATATATATATATATATATATATATATATATATATATATATATATATATATATATATATATATATATATATATATATATATATATATATATATATAAAGTGTAAAAAAAGTTTTAATGTCAATCAGACTAATGTTTTTTTGATTTTCATAATAACATCTGCAATGTCAAAAATAAAACAACATCTGAACAATGCTGGTTGTTTGTACAACCAGCATTGTTCAAACGAAATTTTACTACTTTAAGTTCCTTGTGGAATTAGTTCCAGACAAGGTAATTATTGTTCAAACGTTGTTTTATTTTTGACATTGCAGATGTTAGTTGACAACATTTTTCTGACGTTTAACAAAATTAACATTTTATTAAACGCCAGAAAAATTGCAAAGATTTTGTTAATTTTATTAACAAAATCTTTGCAGTTGGTCATAATGCCCGTAATGTTCTGAACGTAAATGTAATACATAAAAATATAGTTGACAAAATATAAAAGTTACCTTTGCATATCTAAAAAATACCTAAAAAGGAAAAAAAATACCAAAAAAAGGAAAAAAATTATAAGGCACATTAAAATGTTTTACACATAACATCTTAAAACATGTTGTTTTTTTATTTTACTGCACCAAGGACAACATTTAAAAAAACCAAACTTTGTTAACAAACAGTTAGAATTGAATAAGTAATTCTGATTGAATGATGGCAAAACCATAAGTACAAAAATGTTTTTATGCAATTAATTTTTTAATAAAATAAAATTTTAAAACATTTAAATTATTCAATAACAATTTAGTTATGCTGCACCCAACCTAAAACACTAAAAAATATTAATAAAATAATAAATATGCTGGCATAAGTTGTAACAGCAAATAATTTACAGTCAAATAATTATCCAGCTTTTTTTTAATTATCCAATCTTGTTAAACATATTAAAATATAACTCATAAACCTTAATACAAAACCTTTGTTACCCAGTTTTCAAAGCTATTTCATTCAAATCTTCTATTGCTCAACAGCTGAGTTGAAATTTTTAAGATGTGGTAATGTATTTTTGGGTTGACTTGTGTTAATTTCACACAACTTAATAACTTTGTACTGGAACTCTTAACACATAATAATAAATAACAAATAACAGTATTCAACAAAAAATATTTTTTAACATTGCATGTAATTTATTGGAAAGGTTAAAATTAGCTCTTTGTTTTAAGTCTGAAATAAGAGAAATATGAGATTTTAATTGGTTCAAACCAATATTTATTTATTAATAATGACTAAGTTCTGCTTTAAAACATAGGTGTTCAGTTGCTTTTTCTGTATGATATGCTTTTCTATTCCTAAAATCAGACTTAATTTTAGGTTTTTGAGTAAATGCTTTGCCAAGTGCAGAAAAAAACTAATATCAAATTATTAAGTAAAAAATTGAAAAAACAAAATGAATACCTTAATATGTGGTAGTAGTGTAGTGGCAAAGTGCTTGCTTTATAAGTGAGAAGTTTGGAGATTGATCCCCAACACATCCCTGGTAGTAAGGTTCTTAACTTATTTTACTGCTCAGTAGTCTTGTATGTCAAGGACTGTGTTTTGGAGTTGAGAGAAGGTTGCAACCAGGGTTGTGAAGTGGGAGTGGGAGAGTCAGAGTTGTGACATTTGTAGCAGAGTCACTTAACAAAATTGTGACTCCAACTCCAATAGTAAAACTTCTGGGTATTGCACGTGCATATATAAAACATTTAACGTTCAAAGAATTTTTCATATATTTGGTACAAAAAAAAATTTTATATTATAGCGTAATATTTTTTTAAGAATTCAAAGAATTTTTCAAAAATTTTGCTTTGAATTTGGAGTTGGAGTCGTTCTCTGAAAGTTTCAACAATTGTAGTCAGAGTTGTTACTTTTTTTTTACAACTCCACACCTCGATGCAACAACAATCAAGCATCCTTAACTGTAGAGACCCTCTCAGCCATGGGGAGGTAAATATCAATAAAAAATAAATCAATAAAAATAACCTAATATGTAAACAACAAAAAAACTAATTTTGACCTTTTTATGAAACTTGAGACTCAAAATCTTGTGAGTCAGTATCAGTTATAATATTATAGGAGTAGCATGTGATAAAGCTTTTATCAGTAAATTTAACTTAAGAATCACTTAACTTTTTTTTCCGTTCCTTTCTAGGGTACCAAAGAAAAAATAAATAAATTTTTCAGAATTAAACTAATAAAAGGTAATTTTAAATTGATTATAAATCTGTATCAGTTTACTTCAAAAAAATGAAAAATTTAAGTTTAATATAACTATTTATTATATAACTATGTATTCTTTTCAAAAAATAAAATAATCTTTAAATAGCTTAATAAATGTATTTACTAAAAGCATTTTTTAATGTTTAAGAAAAATACAAAAGTGATAACAATACTAATTCTATAATCTTGTTTTTTTTTTTTTGCTTTTTATAACAAGTTACAAAAAAAAAAAATTAATCTCTATATAAAAAAATACTTTTATAAAAATTCATACAAAAAACACATTAAACAAGTTATAAGAAAGATAATTAGGTAAGTTCTAGTCTAGAATTAGTTCCACAAGAAACTAAAAATAACATAAGATATTATATTTAAAACAGCTGAATTAAATGTCATAAAAAATGAACTCCTTATTTTTATTGACATTTAATTAAACTAATAATTAGTTTAATAATGGGTATTTAGAATACCATAATTGCATTAGTTATTTTTAAATTAAATATTATGTGTAATACTTTATATATCAGAAAATTTTACTATATAAATTATATAGTAAAATTTTCCGATGTTTGTTAAATATACAAAATATTAAATATACAAAATAATGTTAAATATACAAAAATATAACAAAAACGTTTTTGAATAGTTTTGAAAGTCAAATAAAGTTTTTGTAACTTTATTTTCTCATGTTAATGTTTAAAAACTACATATATAATTCGACTAGAGAATATAAAAAAATAATGTAATAAACATTAGTTTTACAGATCATAATGCCTAAAAACCAGATTAAAAATAACATTTTCTTCATTAACGGTTTTTCAACCATTTTAAAATGTGCAAGTTTTTTTTGTGCTTATGTTGCTTTGATTACAAAAGTAAAAACGTAAATAAAGCAACGTTGTTCCAAAGACGTTCTAACGTTAATCAGGCTAACGTTAAATAACCAACGTTGTTCCAACGTCTTTTTTATGTTGACATTTAAGACGTTAGATGATAACGTTTTTCCGAAGTTGTTCCAACGTTTGTTAGACAACGTTAGAATAACACCGTTATGCCGACGTTGTAACATCGTTGGAATTTAGTTAACTCGCGTCGCGACCAAAGTCCAACCAAATTACAACAACGGCACAACGTCTTTTTCTTACTGGGTAGAATTAAAAACTTAATCTAGTTTTTTTAAGCATTTAAATTTTCTCAACAATTAAGTTATTTAATAGAGAAAAATAATCTAGTTAACCACACCATAAAAACTTTATTAATCATATCTACTTGATTCAAGTAGAAACACAAACACAGCCTAGTTTCAACGAAGGCATACAACTTTAAACTAAAAATACTCCAATATTTTTTAAAATTAAATTCTACAAGAAAACAATACAAACACTTGGGTGATTTAAAGATATATTAATTTATATAATTTTTACTTAAAAAATCAATTCGCCTAATCGAAGGTCATGCCATTATTTGCGTAAACATACTTCCTCTTTTAGATATTGCAGTGCTGTACGTTTAAAAAACGTTTTTTTATCAATTTAAAAAAACGTTTTAAAAACGTTCATAAGCTATCTGAAAAATTTCGTAAGTTAAAAAAAACAAAAAAAAAATTAAAAAACGCTAAAAAAACGTTTAAAATAACATTTAAAAAAATGTTTGCAAAAAAACGTTTTAAAAACGATTGTATTGGTTCTTTTAACGTCCGACCGTAAATTGAACGAATAAAAAACGTTTTAAAAACGTCCTGTGCTTATATATATGATACATATATATATATATATATGATATATATATATATATATATATATATATATATATATATATATATATATATATATATATATATATATATATATATATATATATATATATATATATATATATATATATATATATATGGTCAAAGTGATATATATATATATATATATATATATATATATATATTTTGACCACGGTATATATATATATATATACTTTGACCACGGTATATATATATATATATATATATATATATATATATATATATATATATATATATATATATATATATATATATATATATATATATATATATATATATATATATGGTCAAAGTGATATATATATATATATATATATATATATATATATTTTGACCACGGTATATATATATATATATACTTTGACCACGGTATATATATATATATATATATATACCGTGGTCAAAGTGAGGTGGGATGCAATCCCACCTCACTTTGACTACGGTATATATATATATATATATATATATATATATATATACCGTAGTCAAAGTGAGGTGGGATTGCATCCCACCTCACTTTGACCACGGTATATATATATATATATATATATATATATATATATATATATATATATATATATATATATATATATATATATATATATATATATATATATATATATATTATATATATATATATATATATATATATATATATATATATATATATATATATATATATATATATATATATATATATATATATATATATATATATATATATATACCCAGTGGGCACACGACGGAAAAAAAGACGTCTTATGTACGTTCAGTTCACGTCTGCTTGATTTATTCACAATATAAACTATAATAAGACGTCTTATGAACGTCTTTTTCTCGTCCGTTCCGAAAATAAGAAAATTTATCACTTTCAGTTTTGAAAAACCTTTTTATTATTTCTAATGACGCGAAATGTCATTATTAAAATTATTAAAATGTGTTTTAATAATGGTGCTATTATTAAAAGGTGTTTTAATAATGGCGATTCTCGTATGAAGAGGTTCCAATTACTTTTTAGATAATTGTTAGATAACATATGTGTTTTATATTTATATATGTATATAGACAAATAAAGTATACAAAGATTGTTTATATAGTAAAGAAAAACTCTATATAACTTTATATGACATATATATGTCGTGACATGCTTTTTTTTACTTTATATGTCATTAAATTTTATTTTTTATATTTTTTATGTCATATTAGATATATATAAAAATAATGAAATTTAGATTGATTAACTAGTTTTTTTAATATATTACTGTATGAGTATAAAATCTTATTTTATTTACTGTCATTTATATTTTAAGTATTATAGTTTGTTTTTTTTAAACGTAATACTTAAAATATAAATGTCAGGAAATAAAATTATGAAATTAAAATTTTATACTCATACAGTAATAATATAATAAAAATCAGTCAATAAATCTAAATTTTCATTATTTTTATATATATGTAATTTTATTTTCTTTGAAGTTAACAATCAATAACTTAATCCCTGTTACTATATTATAGATGCATGTAACTATATTATATATCATAATATGATATATATCACAATATGATATATATGATATATATAAATCGATTCATATATAATATAGTAACATACATATATAATATAGTAACAAGATATAACAGTAAAAAAAATTATATGTGTACTACGAATAATAATCAAAAGTACTTTGAGTTACAGGAAAGTTCGAGTTATCTGAGATTTGAGATATTGGGAGTTTACTGTATTCTTCTGATTATTATTTTTACATTCCATCTACATAGAATTTTGAATTTTATGCTGAAAGTTGCACTTTTATATATATATATATATTTTTTTTTTAATTTTAATTTATTATACTTTTGTAACATTTAATAAAAATACGTATGATAAAGCTTTATTAATATATCAATGATTTAACATTTAGTGCACAAACAAATTAAATAATACATTTATTAATGTTAGAATATTTGTTATAAATTAGTTTTATATTTTAATGGTGAAAAAATCAAAATTTGACATGATATTTTTAGTAGAAAATTTTAAAAGGATTTCTTGAAAAAATAATGACAAAATTGATAGTTTTTTGTAACTTCAAGTGTTATAACTTTTCTAATTCTTATCAAAATGTATACAGTTTGGTATAAAAACAAAGATATGAAAAAGACAAGGCACCTACAACACCTAGTAATATGTTACGAATGTATATTTGTTAATGAAAGTTTTGTGTTTTTTATTGAAATTTTGGATTTTTATTTGCAATTTTTTATATTCTAACAAACGATCATTAAATATGATAGATAAACAAGTAGAAAAGAATATAGTAATACATAATACTCTCCTCATATGTAATACTCTCCTTAAACGTAAATCAAATTGTTTAAACCGGATATGATGATTAAATGTTGTATCGGCATGGTTTTATCTGTCTACTTTGCTTTTTCAATTTGGTTGCCAGCTTCAACCTAATTCTTGATTTAGAACTATGATTTTAAACTAAAACAATGCCGTGTTGAAAAAAATACTATTTATTCTTAACTGTATTTTTTTTTGAGGCTTCAGTTATCAAATGTTGGTGGTAATTTTAGTTATGCCACTGTGAAAGCGTCGATTGTTAAGTATGTGTTTACTTTTTGTATTTTGTTTTGCTATGCAAATAATTTTTAATAATAATTACTTAACTATTAACTAATAAGTTTTGTTTTGTTATTATTTATTATGGTTATTGTTTATCTGTATACATTACACTATAGAGTATATGTAAATGCATGTGCAATAGCATAGGTTGTATTTTTTTATGTATTCACATAAGACATTTTCAAGCACATTGTCCAATCTGCAAACTTAATTATTTTTATCCTTATGTCGAATGACAACGTTTTGCCCTTTCCCATCCCTGAATGTGAAGGAAATGAGTTCTGTAAATAACAGTATTTTATTTAATATTAAATTAAATTTCATCAACAGGTTTGTAACTTTATTAGTATTTTAGCTTTCAAAAGTTTTGACCATATAAAGATTAGTTTCCCTCCTTAAATGAGGAGGTTGCAAATTGTACATCATCATAGTTTTTGAATGCTAATATGAACTCATTTCCCTCATATTCAGATATAGGAGAGCAAAATTTTTGGGGTATTTTAGTTTTCAAGCACCTATGTATTATTTATAACAAATAATAGATTATAATTTATTTTTTTCATTGTCATTCCAGGTAGACATAAAAAGTTTGAAGTATGCACAAAGCCTGAAAGTGTCAAATATGGAACCTAAAAAAACCTGCCTTTGCCACTGACTGTATAAAGGTTTTTTAAGGTAAGAGCTTAAATAAATTAACAGAAAAAAATATTATAAGTTATACATTTTTATACTAAAATAGATTAAAAATATATATTTGTAGTTTCAGTTTTAATTGTCACAAATATTAAATATTTGTGACACAGAATACAGATATTGATGTCTGTCTTTTTTAATGTCATTAATGCTTTATCTACTGTTTTCTTTTTGTGCATGACCTAATTTCTTTTCATATCCATATTTTTTTAAGTCTGTTTGTCAAGCGTCAAGTCAGGTTATCTTGCGCTACTGGTACCATGTAGTACATCCTAATTAAGCAGGTTGTACGCCATCCATACAACGTTTGGGCATCTGTTTGTAAAATATTGCTGCAAATCTTTTTGAGAGAGCCATCTAAACCATACAAGTGTGGAAACATGGATGTAAATATTAAACACATTTGTGATATATAATTGTAGAATGTTATATGTTTTAAGTTTGGAAATTATATTCTGCTAAAAAAACTTTTTAAATGTATTTTAGCAAAACATACCTGGCCTGCATTTGATCCTGAAAAACGTTCTTTTTGGACCAAATGCTGGCTGGGTAATTTGGACTTTTAAATGAACTTATATTCATAATATTTAAACTGCTTATGATCTGATCTGATTTTATTTTTGTCATTTGTTTATTTAAATGTGAAATAAACTGATGAGTTTATTTAACTTAGCTGGTAAAAAAAAGAGTTTTCGTAAAACAAATTAAATGAAGACAGTAATAGGTATACCTGTTAATGTAATATATTTTGTATTGTATTTTGTATGCTTAGTTTTGACGAATTTTTAAATGCTGCAAACTCACACTCGCACAAAAATCAACTGTGAACTCTTATTTAATCAGTTGCAAAAGTTGACTTTGAAAATTTTGTATAAGATATTGTAGCTTATTTATTAGACTGTATTTTTAGAATGAAGTTCATTCATTTGCTGGCAACATTTTTAAACGTGGTCCAGATCGAAAAAATTTGGTGCTAGAAATTGTCGATAGTGGAAGTGATAGATGCATCGAACCTAATTTGTAATTAATTTCTGTAAATAAATTTCACTTTACTAATTTTTGTGTTGAATTCTTGTTTTTAAAATGGTATTTGAAATTAATAAGTTTAAAAATTAACGTATAAAAAAATACGCACCAAATAAGACCTATTTATGGCATTCCATACCTAATGTTTTTCATTATTTCTAAACTGTAACTTAAACTAAACTCAATTTCTCAGTCCTATCGGGACGTCTTTTTTATATTCCTCGTAAGGCGTCTTTTTTACGTTCCTCTCAGGACGTCTTTTTCACGTTCCTTCTGGGACGTCTTTAAAACGTTCCACGCAGGACGTCTTTAAAACGTTCCACGCAGGACGTCTTTCTGTATTTCCAAATCCAACCAATTTAAGACCCAGTAAGCACAAAGACGTTTAAAAGACGTGTTAAAGATGTCTTTAAGGATGTCTAAAAGCCTAGATCATAAAGCTAAAAGACATCTAAATGAAGACGTCTTTATAAAAACGCGTTTTAGACGTATTTTAGACGTTCTTTTCAAGATAAATTTAGGTATATGACATAACATTTTCGCGTAGTATGTGGTATATATTCATTATATTTATAACGATATATATTGTTATAATTTCGTATATACAAGATATACATAGGAACCAGCAATCAAAATAATATTGCTGTAATCAACACCAACGGTTGATGCATCAAAGATGAAAATAATAAATAACAATAGCATTTATATATATCAAAACAATATTTAAAACATTTATAACTTACCTTTAGTTATAATAAAATTAACGTACGTATTTATAGCTAATTTTTGAGCGCATACTTGACTTATTATATGGCTTGTGGGTGTATAAAAACTAAAAATACTGATATTTAACTTATTTATTATTCTTGCCATTTTCACTTATTATCATGATCAGTCAACTATCTATTTAAAAAGCAAAACAATTATTAATAAAAAAAAAGATATATTAATATTATAGCAATTGTTTTAGTGATTCCTGTGACAACAATTTTAGCAATTGTGTAAAAAAGTAATTTAATTTAAACTAATTTACACTTAAAACTTGAACAAATTATTCAAAATAATAAAAACTATGTTTTTGCTTTGAATAAACGACATCTACTTAACGCGTTATGACAAAGCCGTCAAAAAGAAGTCATAATGACATATTTATAAACAGGTCTAAGAAAAGACGTCTTTTAGCCTTATGATCTAGACGTCTTTTAATGCATCCTTTAGACTATTTATTATGCGTCTTTTAAACGTCTTTTTAAACTTTAAAAAGATGCATTTTAAACGTCATTTTAAAAACGCATTTATTAAAGACGTCTAGAAGATGTCATAAAAAAAGATATCTTCTAGACGTATTTTTAACGCTTAAATAGACGCCTTTTAAAAGTCATTTTAAAAACGTCTTTATAAAAGACGTCTAGAAGATGTCTAAAAATTGACGTCTTTTAGACGTCTTTTTATCTTTTAAAAAGACGCCTTTTAAACGTCATTTTAAAAACGCGTTTATAAAAGACGTCTAAAAGATGTCTTCAAAACGTCTATAAAAGTGCGTTTTTACCTAGACTAGTTTTAGACGTCTATAAGTGTCGAAAATGCGTCTTGTGCTTACTGGGGACGTCCGATCGGGACGTCTTAAAGACGTCCTAAAGCCGTCCGCGTGCCCACTGGGTATATGTGTGTGTGTGTGTGTGTGTGTGTGTGTGATGGGATGGCATCCCACCTCACTTTGACCACTGTATATATATATATATATATATATATATATATATATATATATATATATATATATATATATATATATATATATATATATATATATATAACGTACCTTTTATTAAGTTGTATAGCTTGGTTAGACTAAAACGATCCTTTGTCTTTTCCAGCTGCCATACTTAAGTTGATCATGAATGAATTTGTCGTTAAACTAAAAATACCATAATTTAATAATATTATATTTTACAATTTATGAAATAATAATTAACTACTCTATTCTACTCTAAAATGTTTTTATTTTTCTCATAATTTAAGTCTAAACGTTTTATTAAATTTAACGATACAGTTTATCTATTAATTTTTTTTTTTTTTTAATATCATACTAACAATTAGTGCAGTTCTGATCATTAGTGTACACTAACCATTATTGTAGTCATATATATGAATAGTCTGGGTTAAAAGAATTGTTTGAAATAAAGTTTAAGTTAAGATAACCTATAGCTTTAAATTTGCAAACTGGCAAAAGTGTGAATTGACATAAGTGCGCCAAACAAGTTTGCAAATATTACAAATAAGTACAAATGCAAAATTTGAATAAGTACAAAACAGTTACAAAAATTGGCAGAAGTGCAAACTGACATAAGTGCGCGTAATATATTTGCAAACATTGGCATAAGTACTAATTGGCAATTTGCCCTTATGCTAGTTTGCAGTTATGCCAGTTTGCCCTTATGCCAATGCTTGCAAATTTATTTGGTACACTTATGCCACTTATAAGTGCTTCACACTTATACCAGTTCCCACTTATGGCAATTCACACTTATGAGAATGTTTTTAATCTATTTAGCGTACTTATGTCGGTTCGCACATATGTTAGTTTGCACTTATATTAGTTTCTGTAACTATTTCAATAACTGCTTTGCACTTATGCCAATTCGCAATTATGTCAATGTTTGCAAACTTGTTCAACGCACATATGTCAATTCGCACTTATGCCAGTTCCCACTTATGCCAGTTTGCACTTATGCAAATGTTTGGAAATTCTTTTTGCGCACTTATACCCATTTGCACTTATGCCATTTGGCATTGTGTCTGTTTTTGTAACTGCTTCGCACATGTGCTAGTTTGCACTTATGCGAATTCGTACTTACACCAATTCGCACTTATGAAATTCACGGTTATTCACTCGTCCTATTATGGTAAAACAACTAAGGTAGAGCCATGCATGGGATTTGTATTATGGATTGTAAGATAGGAGTAATACCATTATAAACTTAAATAGAGTATTTATAGGAATGCACTTTTAATTTACGAGCCTCTTCATCATAGCTATCGCAAGTTTTTGACAATTCTTACCACAAAAATTTTGAACTCTTTGTTTCTAATAGAAAGAAATTATGGAAAAACTGACAATTCCTAATTAAGTAGTAAAAATTATATATTTTAGAGAAAATTTTTAAAAAAGAAAAAAATTTTCAAATTGGTATTTAGCAATTTACAACTGCAGAGTTACTTGATGAAACATTATCAAGTGCTGAGTCAAACTTATTAAATTCTTTTAGGCGGTTCATTTCAGTTACTACTTCCTGCTCACACTATTTTATATTAGGTTTTTTGGATCCTTGGGTTTTTATCTCATTTAGGAGACGCAACACGCAATATTAAAAGTCTAAACAAACTCACAATAATTAAATTTTACATAGTATTAACAAAACTATGTATATAAATAAATTTAAAAAACATAAATTTAATAATTTAATAACTTTACTGGTCTAACCCTAAATCAGAAAAAAACTAATAGACAGTAAAATACTTGATTGTGGCAATGCTAATTTTTGGTATAGGCACAATAAATATTTTATTATGTATTACAGTTTTTCTCAGATTTAGGGTTAGAGAAGAAAGATTGTTCCATAGATTTATAATTTTGATAATATTGAAATAATGGATTTCATGCAAGTGATTATTTAAAGTTAAAATTGGAACCTCGTCTTTTCAATAAAATTTTTTAATATTGACAGTCATTTTAGCATTTTACAACAAACATTACATTATTATTTTTAACTAAAGACTTACTTGCTTGAGATAATGGAAATCTATCATATTTATCCTTTTTATTTTAAGATGATGAAGATTGATGTGTCTTAAAATGAATCTCTTGGTCATCACAATCAATATCATCTTTATTTTTTATTTTTTGACCTACAGAACACAAGCATAGAGAATATTTGAATTTCATCTAAAAACTTGTT